TGTGTGTGTATGTGTTTGTGTATGTGTGTGTGTATGTGAGTGTGTGTATGCGTTTGTGTCTGTATGCGTGTGTGTGTATGTATGCCTGTGTGTGCGTACGTGCGTGTGTGTGTGTGTGTGTGCGTGTTTCTTGTGTAAGCTGAAAGACGCGAAAAATGATTGAAATAGCTAACACTCCAAGGGTTCAGGGGATCTCGTAGTCGAGCAGTCTCGACTAGAGCTTTCTTACTTGTTTTAACTTTGTAACAGTTCAGCAAAATAAGAAAATTATGAAAGCAAAAAAAAAAATGTTTAGAAAATAATTTGTAAATTAAAATGTTCTTAATATTTCCTAAAGCAACTGATTTAATATTTAATTCACTTTTATTCAAAATTGATTATTGTAATATTTATCTGCATATATTATGCAAGCAATTGTTTGACTGTCTTGGGCTTTCAACAGCAGCAATCGGAGTCGATTTCGATTTAGCCAAGTCAAACTGATTTTGGATATTTGCTTTGCAGCAGCAACTGCAAGTTTAATGGCTTTGCTGTCGGCTGTAATGCATCAACAGTAGCAGCAGGAGCAGCAGGAGCAGCAGCAGCAGCAGCAGCAGCAGCAGCAGCAGCAGGAGTAGCAGCATCAGCATCAACATCAACATTCGAATACTTGGCAAATTTGAATTTTGCATTGGCATCGCATCGTGGCATTCTGCTGCGTATCTATCGAGCGCATTGCACTTGCAAATTGAATGAAGTGCAAATTTATTATTTATTGATAGACTTATGCAAGTGCGCAGCAACAGCAGAAATACGAGCAGCAGCGTCTTATAAGTGCTTATGTATGCTTACAGGCCCACACGCACACATGCACACTGTGTACGTACTATTTCCGTGTGTGCGTGTGTGTGTGTGTGTTTTGTGTAASTCGGCACTTGGCTAAATTGCTAAACGCAGCTGACTTCTTTGACAGCGCTAGCTGCAGCTGCACACCTGGTGCCACCTGTATGACCTTGGGCCTTGCCAACTGCAACTGCAAGCCTACACACCCTCGTCCACGCCCACACGCCCACACGCTCCGCCCGGCCGTTTACAAAATGATTTATGCATTTCAACCATTTGTTGTCGACTTTGCGCACGAAAAACAGGAACCAACAACGTTTAATGTGATTTTCTTGTTAAATGGAAACCCTGGAGCAGGTGGTGAAAAGTGCGGAGCTCTTCTTAGAAAGCGCTTTTCACGCGCTTCACTGTTTTCTGTCACTTTTCATTTCTCAACAAATTGTCTGCACTTACGAACCCCTTTGTTAAGCACTTGTTCGCATTTCGTTCTCGTTCTCGTTCTCGTTCCTCCACTCCCCTCCCCCATCCAGTCGGCTATTGTGAATGGAACGCACGACTAAATGGATGGAAACGGGCTTATAGTTATAGTCCAATTGACTGACTATTTCTTCGCCGGCAACCAAGCTCAGCCCCACTACGATCAAGGTCGATCGCATTGCATTCAATGGATTTCGCTGTCCATTGTGCGGCTACCTTGAACTGAGCCGAGCTGCGGATCTACGTGAGTGCTTAAGGCTTAAATTTGTAATATATTAACAAAGTTAATATCTGTTGTGGAGTGAGAGACGATTCGTATTATCGTGAAGAGCTGAGACTGCGAAGGGTTCTCTGTGAACTCTGCTAGCAGACAAATTCGACACGATCATGCAGGTGTGTTTTCAAATAATACTTAATTTATCGATAACTTAAGCAGCTGAAAAAAATCTTGCTATCGGACTTAGTTTGGTTATCGATAACTTCAGCAGCAGTTCAATTTCAATTATCGAGGGAGGCTTAGCCCCAGGTTTAAGCAGCTGCTAAATTAAAGCTGTATAGTTTCAGCGATTATTGATAGCTGAGGCGGGTATTCTGTATTCTATGGGTATTCTGTGGCTATCGATCTAAAATTCTTGAGCTATCGATAACTTAAGCAGCTGCTGCATAATAGTACACATTTTACTTAGTTATCGATAACTCAAGCAGCTATATTTATCGAAGTAGTTATACATTTTCACATGGATATCGATAATATAAGTAACAACTGAGCTGTAGTCATCGAAAAATGTGCACCCTCTCTTTGATTATCGATAACTGTAGTAGTAGTAGGCGCTATACCTATCCTCACTTCGATAACTATAGTTATCGAACAAGCTACACACCTAGGAAAGGCGCCTATGCATGCGCAGCTATTTCTCTTCACATCAAAATGCAGTTATATGATGTCCAAGAAGACTTCTCTCGTACCCTCAGTTCTTACAAATCTACATAGTTGAGTTATATTATATATAAGGTTGACGTCTATAGCCAAGCTAAACTTGAAATGAATATGGAAATAGAATTTGCTA